CATAACCACATACGTAGGATGGCCTTTAATTTTTAATTTAGTGTCACTCTGAAATGCATTTCTCCACATTTAATTTTTCTGTCAGTGGCTGTTATTTCCTCAAAAGACCTAGTTATTTTACTCTGGAGCTCTATTATGATGATCAGTTTAATGTTGTTTTTAGCAGGAGATAAATGTTTTGCAGGTTTTTTTTATCTTCTTTTTCTGAAAGACATACGAACATTCTCATGTTAAAATCCCCTCAGCAGATGCACTTCTCACTCTTGTAATCAGACTGGAAGCACTACTGTTCAGGCTCACTCTGTGCTTTCCTCCCTCACACTGAGAGCTCTGAATGTACTCACTCCCATTGACAGTGCGGATGTATCATTTTAATTGGATACAGCGTGTCCGTACTGCTCTGCTCAAGGCTATGCTGTTCAGTGTTTCAGTTGTCCCTCATGTGCTGATGTTTTCCATCATAAGAACACAGTTTTGAACAGGGCAGCTGGGTTTGGTCTTGGTTAGACTCAGGTAAATTCAGCATAACATATTTTTTTGTTTGGAATTACTTTGAGTGTGAGATTATTTTGTCACAGGGCTCTTACAAACTTATCTAGTGCTTTCTGAAGCATTTAATTGTATCCCATGGTTTTGTGGGGAATTTTGGTTATGTAATAAGTGTAATAAGAAATGAACTAACTTTATATTAGGAGTGATTTGGGGGTGTATTTGTGTGTGTATATGTTGTAGTTCTCATAGAAACACTGTATGTGCTTGGCAGTGTTCCAGTACCTGTGCTGGAGGCTTCCAGAGGCGAGTGGTGGTCTGTCAGGATGCTGATGGACGCAGCAACAGCTACTGTGATGAGAGAGTCAAACCTGCCGAGTCCAAGAGCTGTGACTCTGGGCCGTGTCCTCTGTGGAACTACGGTGTCTGGGGAGAGGTGAGCTTTGATTTCGAGTTCAAAACACAGCTTCTGCTAGACTCTTCAGTTTGGTCAGCGAGAACCTTATTACATTTCCCACACACCTTTTGTCTTTCATCCTTATTGTCTATTATTTCTTCTCAGGCATGAAAGAACTCTTAGGTTAGTCAGGTCAAAGGACCAGTATAATAATATTAAGCATAATTTTTTGTTTGCTAACCTCAGTGCACCCAGACCTGTGGTGGAGGAAGGAGGACTCGCCTGGTGGTGTGTCAGAGGCCCAACGGTCAGAGGCTTAACGACTACAACTGTGACATCTTGGACAAGCCACCCGACACAGAGCAGTGCAATCTGCAGCCCTGCCCAGGCTCCGCCTCCTGGCACCGCCGACCATGGAAGCCGGTACGATAGTACTAACCCGTTTTCCTCCAACACTTACCTTCCTCACTGAGGGCTCATCACTGTGAGTAGGCACGATGTGTGCTAACATGACTTCAGACATGTGTACTGAGTGTGTTTTTAGCCTAAAGCTGCAGGAGTCTCTGGAGTGAGCTCTGGGTATCTAGCACCACTGTTGGCTCAGCAGCTCCAGCCCACCCAGATGGGCCCTGCAGTGGCATGGTGCTGATTAGAATCAAGAAAAAAAAGGGAACATACACAAAAACGCAAAGCTGCTCCACTTAGGGGATCATTAATAACACATGGATCTCATGTTGAGCCAAGACTCCAAGTTAAAACCTGAAAAATCAGAACGGTGCCATATATTAGTAGAATCATAACTTTAGAAGTTATTTATTTCATATATGAGGCGTGAAGTAAATGTTCCTTGTTGTCGTTGTTGTCTTCACCCTGTATCCGAAGTACACAAGTGTATATTTGTGTATAAGAGTTAATATTATGACCATTGAACAGCAAGAAATGACTGCCAGTGTATGTTGTACATCTATGTTTGTACAGTATGATTGTCTTTCTCAAGTAGTATTTTCAAGTATTTTTCATTACTGATATTTAATATTTTTGCTGGTGCTCTTGTTCAGAACTCTCGTGTCTTTCTATGAGTAAATACAATATGTACAGAAGAAAATATCTTCCAATCAAGCTTCATCAATAGTCCTGATAATGTCTGTTTTCTTAATTTGAAATGCAATTTAAAATGGCTTGTTATATAAAAAGATCTGAAATCATCACTGTCACAATAGTAAAAAAGAAAACATGAAACAAAATACAAATTCATTTTAGAAACAATATCTGTAAAACAAAAGTAAGAATCTTAAAAAAGCACAGGAAAGAATTTTTCATAAAATATTGTTACTTTAAGTTTAAATAAAGTATATTGTCTGGAATATGATGTAGGAAAGCAGGCATAAATATAGATAAACTACACTGTAACTGCCACTGAAGCATTGTTCTTCACCTGCTTCTTACTTTAAATACAATCAAGCTATTGGGCAAAAAAAAAAAACATCTTCCATGTTCATGGAAATGTCAGACACGTACATGTATCTGTGAAAGGAGGCCAGGTCAGATTTAATCCAGTTGTTCTCATTCATGTGGCAAACAGTCACATTAACAAAAACTTTCAAATGTACTTTATAGTGAGACTGTGATGTTTTCCTGTCATTATCATAAGGTGCTATTAATGATATAATGGTACATTTTTGGTATCATGAAGAATAGAGTTGTATTATATCGTCAGGCTTAGAATGAGTTAATTTATTCTGTTAATGCACAGTAGGCGGCATCAGTGCAGATTACTGAACATAAAACTGTCAGTGCAGTAAATCATGGTTGCTATTGAGCCATGCTTCATCAGCATTCATCATTGTCCATAAACAAACGTGCACACACAGATACCTCCTCTTTATATAGTCCTTTGTTGTTGTTGTTGTTTTTATTCCTTTGGTGGGTTTTTGTATTTCTGAAGGGTTTCTTTCACATGAAACCTATGTATTTGTTTTCAATGTTGATTGGTAATTGCTGAAGCTTTAATTCTTTGTTCTACTTCAGAGTGATGTAACACTTTACTTGAAATTATATGTCATTACACACATGGGATCTGAACAAGTCAGGCTATTCAGCCTGGGACCAAGTTACTCTTCAAGGTTTGTGATAATGGGCAAACACGCAAACATGCAGCTCTCTCTCACTGCAGGATCCACAAAAGGCTACATTTACAGGATACAATCTGTTTATGTGTTGGACTCTGAATCAAGCACTTAGACACTATCCAGTGGTTGTGCAGCTGTGTCGATTCAGGCTCCTGCAGACATTTTGTGACCAATCACAATTTAAAATCAGCACTGTGAATAATATATTGGTCAAGGCAACAGAATTTGATTATGACACACATTTCATGTGAAGTGTTGCACGTACAGTAGGTGTGTATTTATGTTGCTGTCCTCTCTACTGAGGACGCCTGCAGTCTCCTTTGTGTTTTGTCTCCTCTTGCTGTACAGTATGTGCCACTCACAACCAAGACTCAACCATGGCAGTGTCCCCCTCACAGCTTCATTTATTTAACCCTGTGGTTGCCAGTCTCAAGGGGGACAATGCTCCTTTATTTTTGCATAATTTCATGAGTGTTTTTTTTATATTTATTTCATTCAAATGCAAAAAATACATCACCATGTTTAATTAGCTTTTTCCCACTGTAAAGATTATTAAAGAAACATAACTGTGAAGTATGTGTTGTTTCTCAATGCAGAATTTTACTGAAAAACAAAATGTAGGTCTGTACCTTTAACAACTTTAATTGCTATGTACTCTAAAATTCATAGTTCAGGGTTATGGACATAGCATCTACAGTGTCTCCCTTGGGAGCAACATTTGGATGAGCAATAAAAATAACAGACAAATGTAGGACTTAAAATATATACAGTAGTTTATTACTGTAGAAAGTAAGCTGTTTTAGTTAAGACACAGGAGTCAGCATTGTAGTATACTAATATGTGCTGTTAAAGCATGTACATGCAACATATCTGTGGTGGTGTAGGCAAGTTACTGGCAATAGCTAATAGAAAACACTTTAAGGTCATTATGTGCTTGTTTTGTGTTTGACCTTCAGTTGACTTTTTTATATTAATTCAGTCTTTGGGGGTATATTTATAATCTCCGTAGTACTTCACATACCCTGGCGTAACATAGTGTATAAACAGTGCAGGTGTTTTCTTTTATTTTAACATTTTGTAATCTCCCTGGAAAAAAAACACACTCAGGCCAAATGAAACTTTGGCACTGAGTGGTTCAACTGTTTATATTGTATTAATTGGACTTGACGTAATGCATTTGGCAGGAGACTGACAGATTATTACTTTTACTATAAAAAGAATTGGTATTAATTCATGCCAGCAAGGGTTGTTTAGCTGAAGAGATAGAAAAGTAAGACCTAAAATTATTTACAGAATACTACTAAATGAATTATATACAGTGTATATATAGTTCTCATGGCTTCAGATTGTGTCTTACCTCATGTACTGGCCTATTCCTGGCCTCTTCTGTATCTCCCAAATATTTTTAATGTTAAGAAGAAATAATTACATATTTTGCACAAGCAATATCAATGAATGAAATCTTTGTATTTTTGTAAGTTTTATCACTCCAGTATATCAAATGTCATGCATATTTTAAATTTTCCAGAAAGATTTCGTGTTATTGTATAATGATGTATAATATAATAGTTACATTATGGGGACCTAAACCTGTTAACACACTTACATTGTGGGGACTCAATTATCCTTGTGGGGACCAGAGGGTCAAATCACAGAATTTTAGGGTGGCAACATGGTTAATTTTAGGGTGATGTTAAGTGTTGGTGTCAGGGTTAGGTGTTAGACAAGTAGTGGTTATGGTTAAGGTTAGGATAAATCTACAGGAAATGAATGTAAGTCAATGTAAAGTCCCCACAAGGAATGAAAACAGTGTGCATGCATGTGTGTATGTGTGTATATGTATAGAAAGCACACAAAACAATTTTCACATTTATTGCACAAAATACAAATAGCAGACATGTTGACCATGAACCATCAAGAATGTAAATATCATTAGCTAATTGTAATTATCCTAAAAGCAATGTCGATGCCAAGTGTGTGCAAAGAACAACAATACAACTGTGTGTGATAAAACTGGCAACTGAGGCACAGTTTTAGTCATTTATTTCTGTTTGTTGCTAATAAAAACATAGTGTTTCCTGTCAAGAGTGGGTTTCCCATGAAGGGGGATCGCAGTTCAACATCTGTGAACTAATCATGCTGATTGAAATTAAATCCACATGCATAACATTGACAAACCTATTTAGGTCTGAGGGCAGTGGGCAAGAACATTATCCAAACCTGTCACCCTGGGGTCAGTTGGTCGTGACATCAGTGGGCTTGTGTTTCCTGATCCTGCCCATGTGCCAGTCAATTGTGACCAATTAAAGTGGTGGGTGGAAGGTCCCCCTTGGTCCTCACTAACAGGGTTCTGCTCATGGCTTTAATTTAAATCTGAGTCGGGAGATAATGTTTCATTTGGGCCTTTGAGAGAAAGCAAAATATTCAGTTGATGATTTGCTGGTTAAAAGTCAAGCACTATGGCTTACAGTTTTTTGGCAGATCATTAAGGTTTGGGAAGCAGAAAACCAGATGCTGTGAGATGTTGTGTAAAGATACAAAATATTTGGATCACAGCTTAACTTTCACATCAAGGATGTAAGTCTCTTTTAGGTCAAGCCCTTTGGATAACATGAAGAAACATAATACTCACTCGAATATAAGTTTTCTTTGCAAGCATTTGCATAAACATCCTTTTAATTTATTGCAGTTTAGAGAGCAGTTAAAAGAGAATATTAAGCTCCATCTGAAAGAATAAGAGCTGACTCCGAACCAGAATTAGTTTGCACTGGACACTGGAAGAAATTAAGAGAGGAGCCCATGTACTACATGTTATGCTGTGGGAGATCTGATTAGGAGCTGATGCAGTGAGATAAAATGAGATCAGACAGGGCGTGAAAGTCTGGAAGTGTTTAGTGTGGTTTACCTGAAGCCCATCGGATGGTAGGGAACATGGCCTTGCTTTGACACGAGCAGGTAGCGTCTGCTTTTCCTCAACTTGGTTGGGTATTATAAGGTGCTTTGAAGCCTCTATGAGTCACTTCTTAGGCCATACTTGAATGTATTTTCTTCTACCATGAGGCTGCCACCTCAGACTTGATGGGGCCTAGTCCTGTTCAGTCCTGCCAATGCTATCAAGTTGATGGAGTGAAATGGAGTCTGTGGGGACTCGACATCCCCGTCAAAGAGCTTTTCCCCTCTTGTCAGAGAGACAATGATCGATTGGGTTGCCCATTTTAAGTAACAGGAAACTTATAGTCCTCCATTTCAACTCCAGCATTCAAGACTGTGATGTGTTAGCTACAGCTAGGGGGTTAGAGATGTAGCTGTACTTGTATCAAAATGTTTTGGCTGGGTGCATTTCATGCAAGTTAGCTACCTGTCAGCTCTGTTTCTACTTGTTCATATGAGCTGAGCCACAGATTTACCGATGTGAAAAATTCCAGTGTGCAAGAAAGTGCCTGATCCACTATTCATCAGTTATTTCTTCGCTCCCTTCTCCAACATTTAAAGAAAAAAATTCACCCTTGAGTTTTTGTCCACTGTATTTTTTAGGCTGCAGCTGTTTTTGTTATTGATTCATCTGCCAGTTATTTTCGATTAATTGAGTTATCATTTGGTTTGTTAAAATTGTGAAAAGTTTCTCTACCATGCTGTAATATTATGTCTGACAAAGTGTTCCACACCCAAATAAAGAAAAGCAGCAGACCCACATATTTGAGAAACAGAAGCCATCAAATATTAAACATTTCTGCTTGAAATTTTGATTTTAAAGTGGTGTCCAAAAGTTGCTGAGTTTTTAGTTGATCAAAAAACTGATTAATCATTCCAGCACTACATATTTTAAATTTTTTAAGGAGGATTTTTGAGGCGTAGTAAAAAAAAAAATATATATATATTACAAATGGAAGGTCAAGATCTTCCACTTCCCTGAGCTTTTCCATGCTGCCTGTTTGCAGGATGTGGCAAGCTGGCTGCTAAGACAGATTAGAAAAGCAGCTGTGTAACATTAGCCAGAAAAGGGAGTTAGTCTTGGAGACTTGGACGTCCTGTGTCAAAGGTCACTACTTTATAACTTCATGTCATGTTATTCAGTTGGTCTGCTGTTTGTGTTTTTCAAGTTATATTGTCAAAAATCTTTCTAGAAATCTTTCCTGTAGTTATTCCTCATTCCTGTTCATCTGCAGTGCAACAGTCAGCCAAGCCGTGCTGGGTGTTTAACATGCTCATGGAAAAAAAAAGCTCTCAGTGGAATGTTTAGACAAAGAGAAAAACTCAGCTGTTTTGTCATTTCGTTTTGAGTTATGGTTGCTTGGTGTATCTTTTCTAAGTGATGTTGACTTGAAAAGGAAACTGGGCTGAAGCAGCTGTATATGCCTGTTCAACTGGCTGTTTAACTCTGTAAAGATGGCAGCGTTATATGCTGTGACGCTTTAGCCAGTCAGAAGTATTGTATTCTGCTGCTCCTGCAGCTGACAGCCTGTCAGCAACTGAACCAGGAAATTATTTCCACATCATGTAATCTCTGCATCCTGGGGTAAAGTATATAACAAAATCAACTTGTCACATCTGAAATTCATCAAAAGTTGCTGTAACTAAATACAACAAAATATGGCTGTATTTTGCATTTGTATATATTTGCATAGCCTTGTTTTTGATGAATTCACGCTATGATTCTGTAATTCAGAATGTTTTGTAGGAATGATTATAAGCAAAAATAGCACAAGGTGAGTTGCTGTTGGTTTCAAACTAATCTTGGTGGCTTTTATAACCTGATGGATAAAAGATCTATGGCTCTTGACATTCCTCTGCCCCATGATACCGCTCTTACCAGCTGTTCCCATGTTGACAGTGTGCTGTTTTGACTTCTGTCTTTGAAACGTCCCTGCAAAACAAGACCAAGAACACAAAAGCAGCCTGAATGTTCTATCTTCTCTTTTGTTTCCCCACTTTCTCTGATCTAAGCTTTTAATCTGCACCAGAGAACATGATGATACTGCTACAGCTGTAACAAAAATCATGACTCTATCTTAATGTGTCTTCAGTTCCCAGCTATCACTTGCTCTTTGATGGGTTTGCTGTATAGATGGTATTCGGCATCATGCTGTAAATTAAGATTTTGCTGGAACATACTGTATCTCACAGCCTTGGCAATATGTAGCCCAGGGTATAATTCTGCACTCCTTTCACAGTCTTCACTTGCAAGTTTGTTCTTGCTCCAGGTCAGCTCTGGGCTCCTTTGAAGAGTCTGTGTAACTGCAGTTACCATATGCTTGGTATTACCATCCTCTTGCATTGCGAGCATGCTGCAATGTGATAGGAATTCGACCTTGGCTTTCACATTTTAAGATATGGTCTTGCTTAGAATCACTAAATGTAGGAAATACAATATGAAACTCAATTGTTGTCTAAATTTGCTTTTATCAGCTTTTCTTTCATACTCACTGTAATATAGGAAGTATTTCTTCTGAGATGAACAAGAAAAATCATAAAGGTGTTCAACTTTAAAGTTATATTCATAGACTGGCTGCAGTCCTATGAATAGTCATTATACAAATTATGTCATTATAGTGTAGTGCATCATCATGGGGGAGAAAAACTAATGTGAAACCAGCATGTCCACTGTAATACCAGTATATAAAGCTGGAATTGCAAAACCTTGCATTTGGCAAGAGTCACATTCTGTAATACAAGAGGGTCTTTTTGAGTTTAATCTTTAAAAAAGGAAAGAATGGTTTATAGCATGAAGTTCTTATAATACATAATTTCATTCTTGAGGTCTTGGTGTTTGAATGAATGCACAAATACACAACAAAGCAGTTTTGATGTTAGATTGGTTGATAAATGTACCTTCTCTGTGTGAGGTAATGTACAAAATTAGCTACTTTGATTATGACGTTGGCCGAGTGACATATTTAAAGTTTGCATGTGTCTTATTGGTTTACCTGTTCACACTAAAGCAGTAGGTGGGGTCATCTTGAGGTTACTGCCGGTCAATCCTAGATAAAGACAAAGGTTCACAAACAGAGCATCTAATATCATGTTAGATATGTGGAAGAAACCTGTACGAAGACATTTTGTAAAAATAATCAAATTCAAACATCTATTTTTAAAGCTCCCCAGGATGTTATATGGTTTTATTGCATGCAGCAAAGGTAAAAATTAACTGGGTGTGGTTTAACACTCACTTATGTGATTTGTTCCAAAACTTTTTCAAATTAAGAATTGCCACTTTGTAACCACAGTAGCATAATTAAAATCAAATTGTTTGTTACATGAAGTTGTAACTCTCTATGTTTTTCTCTGCAGACGTTCTGTTCAGTCTGGGAAAAAAAAGCTGTTTTACTTGGCTTTGTACCAAATGAAAAGTGGTTGAGTCATTCCATTTTCCATATCATACCTAACCTCATTGGGTTATGCTACATTTAACCCGCCTAATCATGTGAAATTAATTTCTGGGAAATGTGTGAGGGCAGATCATGCATTTACTATGTAACCTACTGATTTATGTGCTGTTTTTCCCCTCTCCTTCTTGGCAAAGTGATCTGAAGGACTAAAGATAGAAATGTTCCTTTCTGGCTAAATCTGACACATTTACATTCATTTGATGTTGACCAATGTGTACTGCGCCTGTTCAAGTCAATAAATAAATGAAAATACTTGAATTTTAACCTATTTTCAGGTCACTGACACCTCAGAAAGGTATTATAATAACACCAAAACATCAGACTGTTTAAATTGAACTTAGCACACATCAAAGAAAAAAGTATATGTAATATTAATATTACATTAATGAAAGTACCATGTTCTATCATAACTGACAATTTCCAAATAAAAAGCACATCAAAATGTACCTATTTTTTCAAGTAAAATAGAAGATAGCAGCTAGTAAGTTGTCACTTGTTGCTAAAAGTAAGCGATACTGTATGTGTCTTACCTGAGTAGGTGCTGGTGAGTGAAGCAGCCCAGCTGTAGATCGGTGAAGCAGAGGTCCCTGAGTCCTTGCCCTGTTGTTGCTCTCACAGATGAAGCTCTCCCCTGGTTCTTTGCTCTGTGCCTGTGCTCTGTGTTACCAGCCCTGATTAACTAATGGCTGACAGATGAGGTTGGCAGGCTACAGGGAGGAGCACATATGGTGTTTTTTTCTCTCACCATTAAAATGCAGATACAGTTCAGCTGGGGGAGCGTAGCCCGTATGGCTGCGATTTCCTTTCTTCCTCCCTTTTTTCTCTTTTTTTTCCCTACTGCTTTTACAGCATTAAGGAGGGGCTAGCACCCTGCACCCACCCAACACGTTTACCTCTGCTCTTGTCTGAGATAGAGGGAGTTCTGTACAGCGGGTATGTGAATCTCCTGCTCAGGGCTAGTCACTCACCTCTGGCCACAGCCTCCGCTTTGATATTCTCTGTCAGCTGAGCCAGCCCTGTGTTTAAAATGCCTCAGTAATTACAATGTGTATGATGCACCACCACTCTTAGGAACAAATGCAAGAGGTGGCTTTGTTTAAAGGAATCAAATTATTATTTTTCTGTTTTTTATTTTGTAGCTTCTAGAGACCGGAGGAAAAAAAAAGACAAAATCCTCAATTTATTTGTGAATTTAGATTCTTCTTCTCATAATCCATTATCTGTAGTTTGATCAGCAAAAATGGGCACACAGACAAAAGTCATGTATTTGGTGTTATGCAACATTCTGAGATCATAATTAGAGGACAATGCAATATTATGTTCATTATCTGGACTGGAAAATAGGCAAAAGGTCACTCTCCTGCTTGCTGTGTATTTGATTGCAGTACCCCATTTTTGGAGTGGCTTTGTATAAGAGTCCATGGCCACGCAGAAATAGCGGCTCCCTAATTGCTGTCTGACCTCATGGAGACTATTTTTAACTACCATCTCAGGCAAAGACCATTTTGAGAGCTTTTATCAGTGTGACTGGGAGTTATTAATTATATATTTTCTTCTTCTTCTTTTTTATCTCTCTAGCTTTCCTGAAGTATTTCTAGGTTTCTTATTGGTACCAGATGATTGTCTTGCCATGCATCCATGTTTCTGCCTTTTTTTTCTTTCTCATTTCTCGGTCTCTGCCATTCACAGCAGCTTAAAGAGTAATTCCTCTGTTTACAGGTTAAATAGTTGGCTGCATTCCTTCAGTGTCAGAGTGTTTGACAAAAGGTTTCAGTGAAATCTATCTGGGTCACTTTGCTGAAATTTGTTTGCCATGTGTTTAGTTGGCCATGAAATGCTACAAGGAAGGTGGTAGTTGCACCCAACACTGTTATGTTGAGGTCTAAATCCTATTTTTGTAGTACTAAGAGAAACATTTTGCTATACGCCAACATTTAAGTACATGGCATGTACACGCAGAGTTCTTGGATTTGTGCTTTTCACTCCAACACAATGGATGTTAATGGAATTTTGTTGTATTAAAAAGTTATTTTAAATCATTCAACAGCAAAATATCTTTACACAAACATTATTCTTATTAAACAGACTTTGCTGTCAATAGTTTTCAGTGAAACTACTTTATAATTTAATAAATACATTTTTCTTCACTTAACTTATAATTAAAGAATTCTACAGCCAATAAATCACACTGAAAATTAAATAAGGTATTACATACCGTGATTTTGAAATAATAGCTAACAATTCAATGTGGAACAACATCATTTAACACCACTTGTCTGATTGTACGGAATTTATAGTTTTGCAGCCACTTTTAGTAGAGATTTAGAGCTGTGAGCTTCAGCTTCAACTTTGCTAATATGCCCCCATTTTCTCTTGCTCTCCAACCAACACCCATCCCTCTTCTCTCCTCTTTCTTCTACAGTGTTCAGTGACTTGCGGTCAGGGGACCAAACAGCGGGAGATATCCTGTGTTTATCAGAACCAAACCAAAATAGGTGAAGAGCATTGCAGTCATCTTCCTCGACCACACACACAAAGGGTCTGTCGAGCCCGGGGATGCCCCAGTTGGAAATCCAACAGGTGGAGGGAGGTATGTTTGCTCTTCTCTCCATCTCCTGTGGCTCACAAACTAGCCTCTCAGGGAACATGATAACAGTAACGGCTGCTCCGTGGCGAGGAACCC